GCCTCGAGTGGGGTCTCCCACGGGTGACCCCCCTGCAAGGGGAACGGACGTCCGGGGATTCCTAAGAGCGGTCCTTAGGTGTACAGGGGCCCCCCGAGTTCGACTCCTCACTTTGGGGATCCCCCTACCCCTCCTTAGGCCGCGCGAAGGCATGCTCTACTGTCCTGGAAGGAAAGAGTCCACTTTCCTGGGATCGGTCTTACTTGGCCCCCACTTCCCCAATCGGGGCACAGAGCTGGTTTCCCCCAACCAAGTCCCGTTTCAGTCTGCTCCTTAGGAAGAAGGGACTCTGGGGGAAACAAGTCCTCTTTAGTATGGAAAGGGGACCCTTTTGCCGCCAGAGTGGCTAAGTACTTTAGTAAAATGGGGAGGGTGGGAATAGGAGTTGGCTCTTTTTGATGCTTCCAGTGCCTTGAAAGCGTTGTTTCTCTCTTTTTGAGAAAGAGGGGAGGGTCCCAACCAGTTTTTTGATTCTTTATGACAACATGGAAGTGCCATATGCTGGTGAGACTGACATCCCCAGAGCCTGGAGGGGAGGCCCATAGAATGAGAGGACTTAGCTGCCCTTTCAGGAAGCAGACCTCAGTCCTGGGTAGTTCCAGTGCCTCCAGGGCAGGGTGGGAGGTCCCGTTAGGTAAACACCCTGCTCTGCCCAGTGTGATCTGTGGCTCCCTCACCTCCAGTTGGGATTAGGGTTCTAATGTGCACTTGATCTGCATGCCCACTGAATTGTCTTGTATTGATTGAGAAGCAGCTATAACTGGGGGAGTTCGTTCTGTGTGCTGTCAGTTGGGGTGGGTTAAGGCCCCATCTGGGCAGCCCAAAAGCTTTGGTTCAAAGTGTTAAAAAAAATGAGAGAGGTGAAAAGATAGATACTTAGTTTTTGGTTTGTATTTCTTTGGAAAACTTGTAATAATTCCACAAACAGATTCTGGTGTTAAGTTTGTTGGATAGGGGTTTATTTGAAGTTGCTGTTCATGTGGCTAAATTGTAACATGTGTTTCAAAAGGGTCTTTTGTTTTCCTCAAATGAAGATTTCAGATGCCTTGAAGCAAAAACTTCCCTGAGATTTGTTTTACATATGTAAAGGTTTCTGTGGGTGAGGGAGATAATACTCTGCAGCATCCCAGTTAGAGAACCCAGTTACTTTGTGGAGATGACCTCAGGACCCTCTGTGACACAGAGCTTCTTCTGTTCCTTTTACCCCTAGATCAAGTTAGTCTGGCCACAAACAATTTAGGATGAAATCCCATTGAGAAAGGAAGTTTTGAAATTCCTGGATAACTCCTGAACTTTGATGCCTTAGATGAAAATTCCTTCTAGAATGTCTTAACCATCAGGCGCTTCCCTAAAGTAGGGGGAACCTGACTCCCAGGCCAAACAGCAAGACGAGAGAGCAGGAGAGATTCTCAGAAGTTGATCTGAGCCCCATGGAGGTTGCTTTTGGGTGCTAATTTTTCTCTGCTTACAACTTCATTTCTAGATTGCAGCCAAAATTGGAGGCGATGCTGCTACAACAGTGAATAACAGCACTCCTGATTTTGGTTTTGGGGGCCAAAAGAGGCAATTGGAAGATGGAGGTAACTACCTGTTAGGGGGAAGGGCTGGGGTGGAGAGTGAGGTGCCTTTGTTTGAA